CCTGACCCCTCCCTTATGCTCGTACTGGTTTCCAAAAATTGTTGAAGGGCATCCCCCTCTAGCAGCCCTTCCACGGGCTCAATGGATGTAGGGAACGAATCTGACAAATTTCTATGACAGAGACAAATTAAATTCAATGGTGAATTCGTGGCAAAAATAAATTTCACGGTTTAACCCTAGTAATATGATTCTCTTTGGAAATTCAAAAGGAAGAAATGCGATTATTTCGTTATAAAATTAAATTCATGTCCGAACGTTTCCTCTGGTATTATAAATTGCACTCGGAATGAGACTTGTGGTAACTGACGATTTTTTACTATGAACAGACTATATCGAATGTCTGTTATGGCGATGCGATGGACGCGTAAAAAAAAAAGTTATTTAACTCGAGTTTACGACATTGTCATTCTCATTTTTTTGCATACGTATTCGCATACCATCGGAGCCATCTTCTTTTCGCTCTTACGCAATAAACATTCAATATACGATAAGTTATCGTAAAATTTTACGCAAAACTGGCATACGTATAGTTGGCATTATGGGAAATCGATATCTGCAAAGTGATATTTTTCCATTTTTAATACCACTGGCCGCGTTGCGTCTTAAACTCTTGAATTTAGTTTTTATTTTTTTCAAAAGCACTGTCAGAAATCCCCTAAACGACGAAATCACGCAATCGTAAGGATACCAGCACTTTTTTACAAAAATCTTAAAAACCGGTAAAAAATTTTCCAAATAAATTGAAAAATCTCAAGTAATTATATTATCGAGCCATAAGTATCATTGCGTGATCTCCTTAGCGATGATAACTTATTCAAAGATTCTGAATGCATTGACAGAATTTTTTTTCTTAGGAAATAATTTCCACCTCCTTAATCTTTTTTATACAGCATCCATTGTCAAGCAGTTATTTAACGAAACAGTAAACTCCACACGTCCCGAGATACCATTTGATCTTGATCCTCTTATAAAGCTATCCCAGGCTCATTTTGACAAAAGATGTTTCTCGAAGATACAAAAATGCTTTCATCGCTACTATCAAATCAAACGGTTACAGGATGAGGGGAAGTGAAAAAAAAAAGAAGCTAACATCAAATATTGCTCGGTGGGACGCGAGAAGCGGAAAGCGAGAGTGATATCGGTTTACCCTCGAAAATCCCAAAGGAGCCCCAAAACAAGCTGCCATCTCTTCCATGTTCCAGACCTCTTTCATTCATCCCACCACGTCCTTCCTTGCAGGGGGAGAGAAATACGAAGATTATCCCGTGGGATAATGCGTAGCATTTTTAATGATTACGCAAGACTTCGGGGCAATCGTGTACGAAATCCCAAAAGTCTCTTCGCAGTTTAAAGCTTTTAAAGAGTCAAGAGAATACAGGTGCACTATACATGTATAGATAATGTTAACCATCACCTATTGAATTCTTGTAGCTCTAAGAAACGAAAAAAGAGATGAAAGATGACGCATTTCTAGGAAAATTAAAAATTTAAAGTGGATTATCGCTTAGGGATTGTAAAAATAAAAAGAAATCAATTATAAATGTAAAATAAAAATGTAAAGAAAATGATGATTAGTGAACGGACTGGTCAATCATAGATAAACGCTATTAATGGTTTTAAAAGAAAGTGGTTGATTTTGGAAAAGTGTCATATCTGTCTTGCATATAATATTTAGATAATGAATCTGTAGAAACATTTTGTATCCTTTAAGTTAGGGATAAAGTTTTTACGTGAACACAAGATTGACCCGGTTCTTGCCTTAGCTGTGCTGGGCAAACTTTTTTTTTGTTGTTAAACTAGTTTTGCGAAGACATCTCTTAGTGCAAACTTCACAATGCAATAATGTTTGTCTCTAACCCCGTGCATTAGGCATTTCTTGCTTCCGTGTTTTCAGAGTTCTCGCAAAACGTATTATTTAAGAATGTCATGTGTTGACTCTGACTGGGTGTAAGAAACTGGACAGTTAATAATACCAACCTGGCGAACTTGAGTATTTGCGGTGGTTAGGAATATGACCATTTACATAACACAAGAGGAAATACTTTTATCTCCTGGTGGTACCAAAACGTACTTGATATGTTACATCAATTGTCGATAAAGTAGAATCCTATCAGGTGATATATTTGCCATGAATCATTACACGGCCGCCATGAACGTTCACTGTATACACAGAGATGAGTAGGGAGATGCACAACGCTACAGTTTTAGGCGATACCAAAAACATGGCGCTTAGTCGTAGCGGCGAGTCCGGGAGTAGGATTTTTTGATCATCGCGTCCGTCGATAAGGCATATCCCGTCGTAGCCGAGCTGAACATGATCAATCCATGCTATATGTCGATGTTATCGCCTAAAGGTTATAGCGTTGAGCATCTTTCTAATCATGTTTGCCGAATACGAGGCAGTGACTACGCGAGAATACCTAGTATACCATCAGTCAACGCCATCGATTACGAGGTAGATGTACTGAACGGTTGTCGATAAAGTAGGGATCGTAAGACTACATATAAAAATGCCTGTAAATTCGCAATACCGACGAATAATGAAATGATTACGTAAAATATTCTAATTCGACTTAGAACGTCAATAAACTGACAAAGCGCCATTAGGCAATTGAAAATAATATGTGTTGCAAATAATTGTGCAATTCGTCAAAAAGAAACACGTGTAACTTCTTTATATAATCCACACAACAGGCTCGATAAACCGTATCGCGTATTTGAATACTCTTTCGTCTAATCCCACGGTAATCCGTCTAACGCAAACTTGTAATACAGTCGATCGTATAAATGAGCATGCAAATGATCGGTAAGCCGTTACCAATTCGAGATGGAAAAGATTTTTTTTTAGATACACATGTGTCTTGCGATTGATCGACGATTGGCATCATGTGTCGAAGAAACAGTTTGTTTCACAAGACCCTTTCGACTGCCTTAAATGGATTGAATACCGCTAGCCCGAAAGGTTGTCGAATGCCCGTGTGACGGCTAAATACAGATTGGCGTTTCGGTAAACAGCGTAAAAATAAAAGCACACGAGTAAATTCGCATGCGACGCCGCGGCAAATAAATGATCGCAAAACCTCATGAAAGAAAACGATGATCCTTCCTGTTCTCAGAATCGCCATTTACGATCGCATTGCATTACTGCGCGAACTCCAATCGTTATTATTAAAGTACGAGAGCAAATTGGAGCGCGCGCTGGCATTTTTTTTTTTTTTTACTAAAATGTATTACGTAATGGCTTGATTTTCGTACGAGGCCGGCAATTCCTTGTAATTGAACAAAATTACTGTTCGGCATCGACAAATCACTCGTGCGCTAGCCTCTCGACGTTAATAATCCCGTAACGGCTACTGCATTACGATATACCAAGAACATCAATTCGTTCCAGAACGATATTCAAAGCGTTCTCGTTATTAATATAAGAATGACCAATGTACCGAGTAATCCAATTTCCAAAAAGTGCCGTTCTCAAAACTTTCCCAGGCAATGACCAATTGCATTGAAGTAAAGTACACAGACCTAATCTCGCACAGAGTGGTACGTTATATACAAGACACGGGGTATATTGTCGCAATGTCAAAGGAGCCCGATAAAAGCTGATTTCGTGTGAAAATCCGTGCAAAGGATAACAGTACCTTTTTACAAAAAAAAAAAAAAAATAGAAAAAAAAAGTATAAACGAACAAGAGATTCGGTTATGCGAGAACTAAGAGGGAGGAAGGAGAACACTCACCGCTCTCGGCCAATCATGGCGATTGCCTCCCTTGCATGGTTTTCCTAATATAAAAGCTGCGTATTTTTTCAAAAAAAAAAAAAAAAATAGAAAAAAAAAGTATAAACGAACAAGAGATTCGGTTATGCGAGAACTAAGAGGGAGGAAGGAGAACACTCACCGCTCTCGGCCAATCATGGCGATTGCCTCCCTTGCATGGTTTTCCTAATATAAAAGCTGCGTAGAAAATATAAAGCGTTCCTGCCTCGGCTTCTCTCGGCGAATTGCACGGGAAATTTTACGAGGGCTCAGAAATGGAAGTTTATATTCGTAAAAAGGTTGCACGTGGCATAACGTCTAGCAAGCCCAACCAAGGATCTGTACACGCGTAAGCGCGACTCTATAGCAGCATAATCCTTTTTACTTATTTCGCAAAGTAATTGAATCCAAGCGCGACCCATTACTGCGATACGACACAGGCGTTATCCTTGAGACCCGATTTATCCCGTGGCGAATTAATCCTTTATATTTCAACATCGTATTCCAGAAAGAATGCCAATTGAACGAAACCCCGTATTTGATTTACGAAAATTATCAAGACACGTGGTACCGTGCTACTGACGTCTCTTACCACTTTTGCTAATGATGGGTTCCTGGAGATTGTGCAATTTTATTCAATGGTAGACTGTAATTTGTACCACGTGTTTCCTAAGCCGAATATACTGAGATAGAGAAAAAAAAAGGTTTGAAACCACTGTTTTGATTACGAATTACGAATAAGGAAACGTCATGAGAAAACATGAGAAACATGAGAAAACGTCATAAATGGTCATTTTTTGTCGTGGTATAAAAAAAAGATTTTTTTTACCCTCGAAATGAAATAATGATAAAATTCAATACTTGCGTATATTCTACGTTTTGTCCTTGTTTTATGAATACTTTGCTCGATAAGAAGTATGTTACAGATAGCCTCTTAGTACGGAACTTAAAGATACTTTACAAACCGGACCCCTATTGTTTATAATAGAACATAAAGCGCTTTAACTGGCAGTTAGGCCGCCAAATTACCCCCCAGTCCCAACCGCCACGGTAATATGCAGTAGGTTTCAGTGTTGAGACTTTGAGGAACCACATAAAAATGAATTTATTTTACTTCACTACGGTTCATTGCCAAGGGGGTGCAAACACGATAACAACCCTCGTAGCTGAGCAATGATTCGGGTAGAATAAATTACAAGTTAGGAAATCGTCGAAGATCCCGTGATAAATAAACTGTAAAATAAAATACTTCGCTTTGCTCTTTAAAACTTTTCCGAACACTCGAAGAGGCATTGTAAAAACTATGAAATTGGAAATAAAATTTTAAAATATTTCATTTTTCATTTTTAAGCCAATCAAGAATGTGTGCCGTTTTCGGTAAAGAACCAAAAAAAAAATGGTTGTTCGCTGAAATTATCCAAAAATATTGTTCGTCATGAAATATTGTCGACACAGTTTGTTTTTGAAAATGACAATGGAATATATAATTCTAATTTGATATTCTTCCTCGGACCTCAAAATTCAGTTTACCCATGGGAAAAGGACGACGTCGTTTCGCAGCCTTCGTCGTGTGATTTATGTCCCCTGCCTACGGACTTTCATAATGGCCAAAGTACTCCCAAAATGGACCATAAATAGAGCCAACTATAATATCCCAGCTAATAACACGCAACGGTTCTTATAAATCCGTCAAGATCACGACGATATCTGTGTTGCTAGACAGAAAAACAACAGAAAGCGTCTTATCGGTAGCTAGAACAAAAGAAAAAGGAATTTAACCGCGAGAGATAAGAGCCCAAGTAAAATTGCTTTCTCATTTATTACCATTGATCATTGAACGAACTTTGAAGGATATTTTATTAACGCGTTAAATCCGTAACCTACAGTTTACACTTTAAAAATTCTATGGTGCTACTTGATTTCCTCACTATCTCGGCATTCATCATTTTCTTCGACACCCGCGGCACGTCGTTTATCATTTTGAATTTTCTATCCGATCAAGAGGACCCAGAACGAACCCGCAAGAATATAGATGACAGTGAAGCAGTGTTTCAACGTGATCTACATATGGTAGAGCTCTAACAATCTTTCTGTGCAGATCAGCACTCGATTTTTCAAATTGTACCAACTTGAAAACTTTTCATAATTTTAATAATCAGATAATTGAAATATGTTAAACGTTCAACGCGCCTACGTGATTCGGTAGGGATTCCAAGTAGAAAGAGCTAATCTCATTCTAATTCGAACACAGGAATATGCGGGGCATTACTTGAAGCTGAAGTCTTCCGTGCTGCACCGGCGTCTTGCGCGTGGCCGAACGAATGAAATTCTAGCAAATGACAGGACGCAATTGACCCAATTGTAAGCCGAAGATGAAGTCCAGCCAACCGGTGGTTTGAACTATTATAGGAGGAAATTCTCAAAGTTTCACCGATAACGCAAGAGCATCTCTCCTCTCGTTAGGGCCTTCGTCCATGAAAGTGTCTGTATAGATAGCTAGGGATACCAGGGATTTTCCTGGGGTTGAATTTTCGTAACTCTCATTCATATCGAGGAAAATTTATTCCTGAGCCTATTAATCACGCTTCGCGTGCGTGGTTAGCAGTCATCTAGGCGCGTGGCTTCTGGTGCTAGAAAGAAAAGTCTCCGAAAGAACATCCGGGAAGACTGGATTTATTTTTTAGAATAATATAAAACGCGTCTGCGTCATTGTTCAATTTTAAAATTATTTACCGTCTGTAGAAATTATTAAATAATCATCAAATTGACGAACCATTTTTTTCGTATATTTCTGACATGGGCTGACCTTATAAAAATAAAATTTTATTAGTAATCTATCATATAGACATACCTACTTACATGGAATCTGATAAATTTAAGTAAAACGTGATTCGAATGAGAAATTTCATGTCATATAACAAGATCTTTGTCTTTTATATTTTTGACTCAAGATGGAAATAGATTCCAAGGACTCGTTTACTGTCCCCTTATCATAAGGCCGTATCCGTATGTTCAATTGCACAAAGTTATACAGAAACGTAGAGTCTTGTCGGCAAATTCTTTTAGGTAATAATGAAAGACTCCGTAGCACTCTTAAGAATGACCTTCCACTTGGTCCGATTGAGATCTCAATTCGCTGTACGTAAAATAACATCACTGATAAGTACTGTCTCAAAATGTTTTCATTCGTCTGAGGATACACTACCATCCAAATCAATAGACACGTGTTCGCTCTTACCGTATTCAATGTCCAGAATGAACTTTTCTCTCAATTCCAATTTCCGTTCCTCGTTACGAACGAATTTCTCTAACTGAATTCCAATCGTTAATACTCTGCGCATTTGTGAACGTCATCAGAGACATAAGATGCGGTGTTGAAAAAAAAACCATCACAAAGCCCTTCTCACTATTTCGGACAAAGAAAAGAAGCAGCCTCCCCGTAGACCAAGCTTTTCTTTTGAGATGAAATGATGACGATGGTGACCGATGACGAGGATATATTGCGCCCAGAATCATTTGAGCGGCTCGTGCGCGACGAAGCGTCGAAGACGAGGGGTGACAGACTGCCGCGATAAGATAACAACTTTAATAGGCCGTTGGCATCCTTCTTTTCATCCCCTATGCTACGGAAGAAGGCACACAACATTATCCCAAAAAGTTTTGCCATGGCGAGTCGCGAGACCCGCGGGAAGAAAATCGTCCCGGCTGGCTGGCTCTGCGGGATTTTCGGGACTGAACTCCGACGGAACTTTGTTTAGGTCGCATGTCAGGAGGAAGAGACATGGCTTCCTGGATTCTGAATAGCTCTTTAATGACCATTGATTCTGAAAAAAGAAATATCGATCTAGGAAGATCGATAAGGACGCTTGAGAAAAATACAAGCATAGACAGCAGCATTATACGAAGTATTGTTAGACTCAACAACTTGTTGGATGAGATTTATTGGAAAGAAAACGTAAAAGCAAAGTTGGAAATTACCTTCGATATTGTTTTTCTTCTATATCTACAATCCGGCAGGATGACTGATGTGAAATGGATAAAGTACTGTCGGTGCGAGACGCGAGATGTTTTCAATCAGTTTGAAAAACTTGGAGGTTAACAACACTTCCTTTGGCAACTCAAATCACAGCACTTATAAGTTCCTGCTACACGAATATAAATCGTGTTAAGATTCTCGAAACGTACCTAACCTGCAAATGAATACTTAACAGATTGAAGAACATCGTGCAAGGAAATATATGGTAACATAACCTATCTGCTTAATCACTGTTCAACCACTCACATTTCTCTGTACGCATGTAATCTCTTTAGAAATTGCATGGTTAATCTTCTGGTTAAACGGCCGAGTATCGTTGTGGTCATTTGTTTTGTCTGACCAAAGAGCAAGCAGATATATGTATGAAGAATAAACAAACTTGCGTACGAAATTACTTGGTTACTTTTCTCGTTAACGGTACAAGACACGTAAGCATCGTCTAAAGTAGACTCGAGCGAAGCACGAATCGGTATTTCAAAACGAGAGTGACGCGATAAATGAGCTGTCGACGTGTGCTCGAGGGGCTGTCCACGAATTTAACGCGAAAGATTCATGGACGAACGATAAAGTGGTGCGCGCAGTGGACTCTCGGGTCAACTAAGGCCACGTCAAGGAGGAGTTACCAACTGCTCGACGTTTCTGCCTCCTCGTCAGGCAAATGACCGACCGAAACTACTTTCGTGCATTTGCATAATTGTCAGTTGCTGAGACAACACGGTCTACATTTCGCGAGGCACGCGCATCGTCCATAACAACCAGAGTCAATTGAGAAACTAAAAATTAAGTAACTAACAAAAAAAGGTATGATAAATTACATATATTTTTTAATTAATGATCGAACAAATCTCATAACAATTTTTCACGTCGTTAGCAATACTTTCAACGAATGTAATAAATCGTATAACCTATAAATACGTAATTTACAAGTGTGAAAGTACATTGATCGCATTATAATAATAGACCTGAGTCTTTATTCAATTTATATAATTCAATCGTGCCAGTCGAGAGTATCCTTTGTCTCGCGCACAGTATTACCTCAATCTGGCACAATGGCACGTACATAATTCGGGGAACATATTTCGGTGCATGTTCGACCAATGATGGAATATCAATTTATCCACATATGGCAAAACATGAATCTCGATCGGGATACCGGTTCCCTTTACTGAGCTTCCGTATAACGTGTAACTTGGTTCGGTAGTTTATCTTCTTGTCACTAGCATGAATTTCTCTTGTATCCTCCGTGAAATTTTTACAATACACCAGCTCCATCCCTTTCGCGAAATTATATCTGGATTTGGAATAACGTGATACAAATAAATGCTTACCGTTAGTGTAATATAATTGTATAAATTTATTTGCATAGCATAATTGATAACTGCGTTGTATTTTTATGGGCGTAACGTAATTTGGATTATCAGAACGATTATGTATGTGCATGCTTGTAGGTATATATATATATTGTATACTACTCTTTACCTTTGTATGCAAATTTAGCCTCTGCGTTATACATTGGAATCTGCTTATCGTATTCTATACGTGCAAGCGTACACGAATGTACTGCACTGAATTTATATAAAGCACCTCAGACGGTCCTTACCCATAAAATAAGATCTGTCCGAGATAACGCGAAAGAATTTCAGCAAAAGTCGCGCTACTAAAATGTAAAAACTCTTCTCGTGGCGTCGCACCAGGATGCAGGCGCTCGTTAAATTACCGGCGTTACCTAACGTTCCGCTGCGTTAATGCACCCTTCGCGAACACCTATAAACATTGGATTCTTACTGTTTTAGACGCTATAACCATTTTCGTCAAATTTATTTTCCCCGAATGATGCTCATCCTCCTTGGTCCCGTGATCTAAATATGAAATCTGCTTGCGCCAAGCACCATTACGCCTCATACGTATGTCTACTTAACACGGAAAATTACGTACAATTGAATAAAGTAAAAAAGGACCATGGCGTCGTTAATGATGAACATTATTGTTCGACAAAATGCTCACGTAAGTTGTCCTGCGCTCTCGGAATGTCTAAGGGAACGTTAAGAAAAATTTGCATAAAATTTCTCACAGCTACGAGAGATTTGAACAGGGTGGTATGTACTTTCAACAATATATATTTCTTTCGAAAATATATACAGTCAAGTTCAAAGTTCGCGAAACGCGAGGATAAAATATAAAAGGAAAGTGTCCTCGAGCTCAAAAGTTTTACTTTCCAAAATTGATACCGATATAAGAATTCGACTGACTTCACTTCCGTTCGCGCGGGGACAAAAGTTACTTCAGTACTTCCGTCTTTATCGTTGAATTGCAAGTTTTTCCTGTTCTTTTTTTTATCTTCTCGTTCTCAAGATACGAAATATTAGGTCTGTTTTTCGTGCGTCCGACCAGATTTTCTACAGTCAATAATTTTATCCGGACGAACCGGAAGTCGGTAACCGGGAAAAGTCGAAGAGAAATGAAAAGTCCGTACATACGCTATTGAAGTTTCTCACGCAACTGTGATTTTACGATCGCATTTGTCTTCATGGATTTGAATTTAAATTGGCAATTCGGATCTACTTTATGCATCAGTATTCACTGTGCACAAGCATGATCTTCTGTTCATGAAGTAGGAATACGTTATAGTCGAAAAATATCGTTTAGCTCGTTTTCACTGATTTTCATATAATTTTTGTCATTTATGTGAAAACGAATCTAGCCAAATGAGGAATTGAATTTTTTTTTCTCGTCAACAACGTCATCCAATGAAATCGATGCACAATGATTATTTTTATACTGGCTGCAGCAATCCTTTCAGTTAAAACTCCTCGAGATTCGCTTTGGCTTTGTTCCAAATGATTTTTTTTCCTCTTGCCTCGTTTTTTTCAACTTTTTCCAAAAAGTATTTTCGTTTACGCTGTAACCACTCGACCAGATAGTGACGGTCTAATTCGTATGAATCTCACGATTTACTAAGATCCGTTTATATATTTTCGGTAGAGCTCTATAGATTTTCCTATTCGACGCTTCCACTCTACTTCCTGTATTTACACATTGACCCAGCTTACACAGCCTAATGAATCTCGTAGGATCTACTCCTAGGGACAAAGTGCACTAATCATCGAAAACAATCCACAGTTTAAAAGTTACTTTTGAAAAACATCGTAAATACACATTTTAACACGTCGTTTAGAGAGGTACGTGCTTTTGTTTCATGTATCCTTACGATCCACATTGCAAGCTTGTTAATTCAATAATATTTAATAAAATACTTCACACTGCTAGAAAAATTCCAAACTTTATTATAAAATCAATTTTTACCTGTTACTATATACAACTGTTCAGGAATATCGCAAAAAATTCCTATACAAATTACCATAAAAAAAAAAAAATTACAATTATACAAAATTAGAATACCTAAAAGCTTCCGTAAAGATACGTAAGACAATTTAAAAATACAAGATCTAATTTCGAAAATTCAATGCAGGAAGTAGGTATTAGACTACGAATTTTCTAAACAGAGAAAACTTTGTTATCCCCATCCGACTAACCAGCATGGATATTCGTAGTTTTTATAGTCGAATTTAATTGCCGGCAAGAATGCACTAAATTCTAACAGGCTAATCTCCGGTTGCACCTTATTATAGATTCTCCGGTTTCTCACGGACGCTTACCGTATCCATAAAAATCACAATTTACCATTGTCCAACCAGTTTCCGGCACGAGAGATCGTATTTAAGTGGTCCTAATCCAACAGCTTCATAAAATCGTGACTCTGAGAATAGATCGTGTGAAAATAGCTACCGAGAAGGATTAATCGATTCTTTTCGATTCTGGGTGGTCAGACATTTGGGATTTATGAAATCCTCTTGCACAATATATCTGCGTAGAGATTCACGAGATATTTCCGCGAAACGTAAGTCAACGCCTGTCCGAAGCGCAAACAGGTGGAAAAGAATTTCGCCTCGAGTCACATCCAGCCGTAAGAAAATCAGCACCATCATATTTTTTCTCCCCTTTAATCATCTTGTTAGCCGGCATGCAAAATACTTCTCGTATAATACCACGTACATCTACCGTACGAACTGGGTTAATTAGGTAGAACCGCAGTTAAGAAGTGTGGAAAGTGGGAAAAATTATTGCAAGATAATCAATATCGGTAACAGTGCGATAATATAGAATTATACGACATAAGTACGTATAATATCACTCGACGTAAAAGACAATTCAATAAAAGACAATAGCCAACAATATCGTTTCCGAAATATCTTGTACAAGCAAGAGAGAAATAAATATGAGCAGATTTTATATTTCTAATGTTACTGTACGAACCCTCTGAAAAAATTGACTGACATATCTCACTAGTGTAAACCTCAGTGAACTTAACTAATCGTAGGAAAGTTTAACCCCGACTCTCCGAGCCCACTAAATTTCTTAAGTTAATCCAGTAAGATCGAAACTTTGGATTCTATTTATTTGCCTGAAAAATCAAAAAGGGGTGAAAATGCTTAAGCAAATCCTCCCTTACACCCCAAGACGTTGCAACTTTTCTCCACTATTATTTTATCCAGCCTCGAATCAGAATCAGAGTATCGATTACTATTATTAAACTAAAAATAAAGGTGTAAATTGTCAGAAGAATTTTTTAAATTTTATCAAGAAGACAGGACAAGTCCAAAGCAACGGTATTCGTAATTCCAATTAATCGAAACACGCAAAGCCCCTATATGCAAATTCGAACGTGCTTATTTCGTTACGTAAATTGCAGGTACGAGCGCAACGAACGAAACATCAATAATGACTCAATCGAAAGAATCCAAGTTGTCCCATATAACTACGATCTATTAAAAAAAAATTCCGCCTCAAAAAACGTCACGAGGTATCAAAAAAAAAAAACGAATTTTAGGTAAATCCTCGTTACCGAGAGTTCGTGTTCCTGATTTAAAAAAAAAAAGTAACTCAACCCCTGCGAAACACGATAAACTTTTACACGAGGCATTCTAACTTTCTCACGCACATGCCATAATCGAAACTTTGATATAAAAAATCTAACCTGACCTCGATTAACAGGGACCCCTCTTAGACATTCTCGATTACCCACGAATAGGAGTATCGAATCTCAATACGGCTTTGCGCAATTCGTACTCCCGAGATAAATTACACAGAATAGCTGAAATATATATTTTTTACAGGGTCACGCTCGTGATTCATGCGTCTCGAAATGACTTATTAATATCTCGTAGATCCATCCTCCATAGGGATTCGTATGCACCTACGAGTCCTCTGAAAATAAACTGAACGAGAAATATTATCCGTATTATTGGACAGGCTGTGTTTTGTCACCTAATAGCTGTTAATTTATTTGTGTCACTGGAGCATGGAGAGTAAGAGAGCGGAAAGACAGGGAAGGAGGGGTAAGAGCAAGGGTGACGAGAGGGGGGGAAGCAGAAACATACGTGCGATCTGGTAGGGGAGAGAGGGGAAGGAACGGAGAAAATCAAAATGGAACAGAAAAAACAGACTTGAAATAATTAATGACCGCGTAGGTTGTTCTATATGACTTTTATGTGGAACAATGAAATTAATAAATTTAACAAGAAATTCGATACTTCATACCGATCTGAGTCCTTCCATTCATCGGCACGTGGATCAACTGCGTACGATTTCAGATTCACGTCTGCTCCTTATGGAAGAAGAGTCGCGAAGTCGTAATTGTGGAACAAAACGAGGGTGTTTGAGGACTATTGAAATTTTGTACTATAGGGGATAAACTTAATTACGAGAAAGTGACTAAATAGTCCCCACGGTTTAAATCCCAGCCACCTTCTTAATCGGCGAGCGATTAATTGTTTTAATCAGCAAGTAAATAATTGCTTGACAATTATGAGCCAGGAGATGGGGTTGACTCGTTGACGGTAAACATTTATTTTCAAGGGTAGGTGACACGTGCACAAGCGTGGAATTAGCTCGCTGTCGTTTACGTACTAAAGTGGGTGAGATTTCGTAATTACAAGGGTCGCGTCAACGCGACCCCTGATTTACCGTTCGTAGGGGTGTGCTCCTCGTGGAAGGAAAAAACGCCCAGAAGAAAGATACAAATAGTAAAGGATAAAAAGGTGGAGAGGATAAAATGCTGGAAAGAAGCCACGAATTGATAGATAATACATTTAGGGGTCGCAGTGGACACTTTCTCGAGTCGTAAAAGGGATCTTGCTTGAATTACATTTTAATCTCAAAAACTGTTCTACCCTTATCGACCTTTGACCTCACGAAACTTGATCTCGAGCACAGACACTCTGAACTATTTTGAACGAATGAGTATAGAAAATAATAAATACACATAAATCATTATCACACGCAGTAAAACCAGTCTCGTGTTATACTTGAAAATCTCCCTTATCGTCATGCATTAAATGCACCCCTCTCTCCGGTCTTTGAACCCCCCTTGTAAAACTAACGAGGCGAACAGCACGTGGCAGGCCCAACGATTTAAGTTAGTTCAACGAAGCACCGGCAAATCTCTAGGATCGATCGCAAGAGTATCCCAGGGATATCCCAAACGTATAACTATACCCGAAATATATATATATATATATATATATATATATATATAATATAATGTCGTATAATCGACGCACCGCGCGGCCTGTCGCCTATGCGTCCACGTGCGTCTATAATATATAAGACACGTAGAGTAGGAACATAAGAAGTGGAGGTACCAGGTATAGCTAAGGTACCGAGACTTCGCAGCATAGAAGAGAGACTCCCGCGAACCGGCACGTCTGCGGCGGCACTGAGAGTCCGAACTCCGAAGTGGGATCAGCGGCAGAAGCCGAGGCAGTCCGCGAGCGACCCGCGACTCGCTCGGTCGCTGCTTTCCCTCTTGCTATCCTGCGAGAGAACTTTACCGGGAACAGAGAAGGAAACGGTCTGGCAGCACGCGATAGATACGTACATTTCGATAGGTAGACATAGAGAGACAGAGATACGGATATATACATGTATACGGATCGGATGCTCAACACGCGTCACGCACGGTCACACATGTTTCGAACGTGAACTAGTTGTCAGATCGGAGACGGGATACGCAAGGCGAATAATGCTCGCGAACGATCGTGAAATCGTTATGAAGTATAACGACGAGTCGTCAGGTGCGTCAACGATAAAGTGTCGAAAGGACGATTTTCAAAGGTGAAATTTCGTCGAGCGTGCGATTCGTTCGAGTATATTTATAAGTTTTTTTTTTTTTTTTTTTTTTTT